GCAAGAACACTATACAAAAGGGGAATAGAGACCAATAGAGAGGCCTCAAGTTACTGGAAAGACAACTCAACAAACTGAGAAGGGAGTACACTGAGGGTGAAACAGATCACCTCTCATAGAAACCACGCCACTACAAAGCAAACACAGATAAATAGAGACACAGAAATATAAATAATAATAATATTATACAACAACAATAACACACACAGACACACATGGTGGCCAAGATGGCGTGTGTAGGCTGCCGTTGGGTGGGGTCTACAGCCGCACCTGGTACCCATCACGGGCAGCACCGTTACCCTCACGCACACCGCAGTCCAGCGAGGTGTGAGAACTATTGGCCGCGCCGCCCTCCCCACGCAATGAATGGCCACATGTGTGGTCCTCACACCGCAGACCCGACGGCACACCACCAACGCAGTTCCCAGCAGCCGCAGCACTACCACCACCACCACTACTGCCCTCACAGTAATGTGACTCCTGCCGCTGCCACTCCTGCCACCCTAGTACCGTCGGCTCATCTACCTAAAACAATAAATAAAAGAAGGAAGGAAAGAGAAGTGCGGGAAGTGTGGGAGGGAACAGGGGCCCAGCACGTTACAAGAAGGGTCATGGAACCAAAAGAAAAAGAAAAACAACTCATGGAAATATAGGAATAAAAAGAACAATGAAAACCGTATTATCTTTGCTATCAATTGGAGTAGCCGTTGACATAACATACGAAATAAAACGGGAAAGGTTAAAACAAAGCTTAAACTCCCACCTTCCCCTAAAAATCGACACAAAATAAAAAAAAGAGGAATAAATTGAAAAAAAAACATAATTTTTCATATTGCGACAGAAATAACCCACGAAAGTTCCCAATATTATCACTAATAGTAATACTTAAAGTAATGGCACTTCTGTATATTTTCTTCCTTTAAAATTTAATCAATGTCAATTTTCTACTGGAATAACAATGAAGGTAGAAAAAAAAAAACTATAACAAAAATAATAAAAAGGCATTTTATTGTTTTCATATTATAGTAAAGAAAATATTAGCCGCGCCACATACGAGTAGGAAGAGGATACAAATAAAAACAAGGTACAGGTTATTCTTTTTTCACCTTAATAACACTGTGGTTTGGCTTTGATATTCGTCCCTGATACCACATATAAATGAAGTTCTAGTAGCCAGCTTGAGGAGGGTACCCATAGTTTGCAGGATATCCACCCTGAGGAACATAGCCACCAGGAGGATATCCACCCTGGTTGTTGTTGTTGTATTGATAATCTTGGGCAGGGAACTGACCCCCAAGGGGATTCCCACCGTCAATAGCATCATTCTCAACATAATTGTTGTTATTATAAACACTGCCATTCTGTCCAACACCAGTAGCCCCACTGCCCTGAAAGTCACCACCGTCATTTCCACGGAACCCGATACTAGTAGAGCGACCCATGCCCAGCTGTGATTGTGCAGGAAGCTTAGCGGCATTTTCTTCCTTTCTCGCATCCTCCAAAATCTTCTTCTCTTTTCTCTTCACTTGGCGCCTCTTGCAATAGCAGCAACACATAATAAGAATGATAATTACAATGATAACAAGAACAATAGTAATGATAAGTGCAGCCCACCATGGAAAACTGCTGGATTCTTCCACAGCAGGATCAGTGGTCCCACCCGTTGCAGGTGCTGTTTCCTGTTTAAAAGCAGTAAACTCATAGTACTCACATACCCACGTTGTGTATAGGTGATCTCGCAACTCATTCATCCAAAATCCATCTTTCAACATTTTCGGGATAACATTGTCTTGGCGTCGAAAAAAAGCAACAGGTTGGACCCCTTTTTGGAAGTTATGATACATGCCAGGAACGGCTTCGGTGTGGTCAACCCCTTTATAGACAGTACCGTACAAAAACACGGATTTCTCAACTGGGGTTCCGTTCATAAGCCCGGTGTGGAAGATCCACGGACACCTCTCAGTCGTGCATGAAGTGGCCGGATTAATCCCGCCAATGGGAGCATCTGCAAATTTACCCTGTACAATGATACCTTGTGCCAATGTTTGGAAACTCCCCGTCATGGGCATCATGGTGTGGCCTCCGCTTCGCTCTGGGCAGTAGCCGCTGAACCGGGCGCTTACTGGTGTAGGGGAAGTAACATAAGTGTAGCGTACACTATACGCCTGGGCGACCAATGATGTGCACAGCACTGCAGCAAGCACACTACAGCGAAACACGATGGAAACCACTGATGTGGAAGTTAATTGTGTCCTCATAGCTTTCAAGCAATAGTTGGTATCTTAAATTAAAAAAAAAAACACATATAAAAACAAAATACAGAAAAATAAAAATAAAAAATGATTTCGCAACAAAGAATTCAGTAGATACAGGCAATGTCGAAGAGACAAATACAGCCCTAGAATGATCATACACACACACAAACAGAGGGAGACAGCTTCACAACAGCATACACAGACACACATGGTGGCCAAGATGGCG